CTCCCTGCCCTTGGAAAAAGACCCCCCCAGCTTTCTTGTAGCCCCCCCAGGCACTGAAGTGGGTTCGTGATGTGTCTGAACAGTGCTGTTGGGTCTGTTTCATGATACAAGCTGGGGAGTGGATGACAGAGCTGAGGGAAAAGAGGAGAACGGAGGGATGGATGGACTGCCAGGGAAGAGATATCTCCTCCCTTGGGATGATTAAGTACCTTCAAAATACTGGAAACGAGCTAAGCAACAAGAAAGTTTTTCTCCCAGCTGGCACGGAGCTCAAAAGGGGACGGAGAGGGAAGCGTTCCCTGAATAGCCTGTTCTCCTGAGGCTGCACGGGGACGGCGCTTGCTGGACCTGGCTAAATGCTCCTCTTCAGGCTGAGCCAAGAACGCTGATCCTCTCCAGGCGGGCGCAGGCTCGCTGCCTGTGCGTGCTCTCGCAGGCAGAGGGCACTTGTGCAAAGGGCCTGTTCCCTACGGGACTGCCAAGCTGCCAGGGGAATTCTGTGCCTGTAACAGCAAGGAATACAACCTGCTGTCCTTCCAGTAACTCTTTTCTCTCCGGTTCTTCCCTTCCTCAGCTGGTACCTGAAGGCTCAGCAAATTGCTCCCAAAAACGGCCGCCCGTACAACCAGCTGGCGCTTCTGGCCATCTACACGGTAAGATGCTCATCGTGTGCGGATGGAGCAAACCGAGGGAGAGCCTTTGGGATGGCTGTGAGATTCCATCTGGAGGAGAAAGGCATTGTTTAGGACAGCGCTCCCAGGTGTTTGAGGGTTTTTAAAGAAAAAAGCTGGTGGCAGGATGTGCTGTGTGGATTCCAGCTGCTGGGGCCTCCAGCAGCTTTGTTAGACACATGCTACTCCCTCAGGCTGTTGGCATTTTGGGGACTCTTCTGTGGGCTGTGGAGGGTGCAAATATCTTAAAAATGGGTTGTGTTTCAAGTTTTGCATGAGATTTTTGGGCCGACGGCCATGCTGTCGTGAGGACGCTGTTTCTGTTTGTCTCTGTTGAACCTGTGGGCACTGGTCTAAGCGACGTCCACACACAGCTTCCCTGGGTTTCAGTTTTCCTGGCTACATGCAGGAAAACTTCCTTCAGGGAAGACGTGACAGCAGATAACGGGAGCATCAGGCTGGGAAACGGGTGCTGGTCGAGATCTGCCCGTTCGCAGAGCAGTTTACAGTAGGGCTCGGCGCGTTTCCTTCGTGGCTGGGAATGACCCTTCTGACTCCTCATGTGGGACTTGGAGCAGAAGTGTCCTGCCCTCTGGGGTGGTTTGTAAGGCCAGCAGCATGGGGGCGAAACCCTCTGCGGCTGGTGTTTTGGTACGTAAAGGCTTGGGGTGCCTTCTCGCGGTGTTCCCTGTGGGAGAAAAGGCGTGAGGGATTAGCCGAGGGGCAGGCCGAGATGAGGCAGGAGTCTGACAAACCCTCCGGTCTTCCTGGACCTCTGCTCTTTGTGAAATTCCTGAACTGTCAGAATTGGGTATTGACACTGTTGTCCTGTACCCTGAGGTCTGCTGAGAGGCTGTTTTGGGTCAGCCGCTGGGTTGTTGGTTTCTGTGGCAGCCTTGGGGCCAAAGCGAGTCTGCAGGCTGTGGCCTCCCCTGCGCCCCCCAGCCCTGGCGAGGGGCTTGTGCTTTGTGCCGGGGGTTGTAGGTAACTCTGAACGTGGATGGAGAGCTCGAGGTCCTGCTTGTCATGCTGTTCGTCGGCCTGTCCTGAGCGGTGTAGTGGGAGAGGGCCCGCGTGCTGGGGAAGGAGCTTGGCTGCCCCGGAGCGAGTGGCAGCTCTGAGTCTGGTCGTGCTTTTTGCAGAGGAGAAAGCTGGATGCTGTCTACTACTACATGCGCAGCCTGGCTGCCAGCAACCCCATCCTCACAGCCAAGGAGAGCCTCATGAGCCTGTTTGAGGAGACAAAACGCAAGGTGGGTCTTGGAGCTGGGCTCAGGGGGGCTGCCCGTGCTGGCTCTCCTGTACTGGAGAGGAGGGGGATGGTGGCTTTTGAACTTGGAGTCACCTTTATCTCCTTCTAAAATTCCATGTTGGGAATCGGATGAGAAACACGGTCTTCAGAATTACAGTGTCCTTTCTGCCCCTCCTCAGACTCCCTTTGGGGTTGTTTGGACAGCTGAATCTCTGGTTTCTGGGTCGCAAACTGTAAAGCAGCCAAGCTCAGCGAGGGCTGCTGTGGTTTGCAGCATGGCCTTGGCATGCAGGGCTGCCCCACGGGGGTGGACAAGAGGGGCTGCGGTCCCTTTGGGCCCCAGAGGGTCATCCCCAGTCAAAGGTACAGCACATTGCTGTCACCTAGGACTGGACACAGCTTTTCTTGTCCCAGGGTTGCTGGAGTTGCAAACCTCTCACTGCACCCTCCCGCAGAGTCAGAGACCAAACTCTGGGCCTGTCGATGGGTTACTGCGGGTCTGAAGCAAGGGGGAAGAGCCAATTTCTCCCTGTAAATGAAAGGATACACTTTTCCTGAACTCTGATCCCTGGGTGATCTGGATCTGTCCTGTCTGCCCAGGCTGAGCAGATGGAGCAGAGGAAACATCAGGTGCTGGATGTGAGCCCCAGCCGCTGGGGGAAGGGCAAGAAGTCCACGTTGCGACAAGTCGGAGATGATGCCACGCGGTTGGAGATCTGGATCCATCCCTCCCACCCCCGCTCCTCCCAGGGCCACGAGTCCGGCAGGGATTCTGAGCAGGACAACGGTCTTGGGAACCTCAGCCCCAGCGACGTGAGTACTGCAGGAGGCGGCGGTTGGCTTTGATGTCATGTGTTTGGAATGCAGTGGAATGACACTGGATCTGTTTTGCTTTCCCGTTGCTAAATTTTCCAGTGTTTTGGCTTTCCCTGTGGGAGCTGTGCCTGGGTCAGGCTGAGGAGCTGGTGACCTCGTGCCTCTCATGTTTAAGGCATGTTGTTACCATCCATTTCTTGGCAGCGTGCGCTGGCGTGGCTAGTGTGGAATAGGAGAGGCATGAGCTGAAGGTGCTGCGAAATTCCCTCTGCTGAGGGGCTCCATGGGTGAGGTTGCCGGTGGGAAATGAGGTCAGATGCTGAAGACCAGGATTGACAGTGACCCTGCAGGCTCTGAGGCTCGTTCTGGAAGCGGGTCACTTGTCCTAGGGCCAGCTCATTGGAGGTTTGTGCTGGAAATGTGAAAACCGTGGCTGTGATTTGCAGTGTAGGTGATAAATTTGCATCACTTGCTCTACGGAGAGGCCAGATTCTTTCCTTTCTTTGCAAGGATAAAAGGAAAAACGGCAGTAATGGGCTCGCAGTGAAAAGAAAAAACGGCACCAGCCTGCTCGTGCCGTGTACCTCGCGAGAGGAGCCCGAGGGCACTCTGAGGGCG